ATCCCCCTTCTGTTCTGTAATGTGATTTGTCCTTTTCATGTGTGTTCATTTTTTTTAAATTGTGGGAAGTGGGTCTGGCCCACGAAAGCTCATCATCTAATAAACCATCTTGTTAGTCTTTAAAGTGCTACATAGTCCTGTATTTTGTTTCAGCTACGCCAGACTAACACGGCTACATCTCTATCACTTGTCCCAAGATATGAGAGTAATAAACTAGGAGAGGTCATATCTTTTACTGGACCGACTTCTGGTGGTGAGACAAGCTCTTTTGCTCACACTAAGCTCTTTAGGGCCGGCCCAGTAGAACAGTCCAATAAAAGATATTACCTCCCCTACCTCGTCTCTCGAGACAGGACCTACAAAGTCTTTCCATCACTTATTTCTATGCCGCTTTCCGAGAAGGGCAAGTCCCTGCGTGGAAACAGCCTGTCGGGAAGCCCACAATGTTTTTAGGCCAGGTCCCATATAGTGTCCTTATCCACGCCAGTGAACCCATTGCTGAGGGCCATCACCCTGACAAAGTGCTGCACTGAACCCCTAGTGCCACCTGAGATGCGTGCTCACCGGATGACTTGAATTCCACAACAGCTGGCGAGCTCCTCCGCTAGCTTTCTGGCACCACGGGCTGCAATGTGGTTTTGGTCCAGACTTTCAGGAATAGAAAGAGAACGTGCAAAGGGTTTTCAGAGCAGGGTAGGAAAAGTTGCAAACTTCCCCTCCCCAGAGGCTAAGCTTCTGCTATGTACCACAGGCGGCAACGCTCCATACCACAGGTCGGGTTCAGGAGTTCTCCTTCCTCCTTTCCCTGTTTGCAAAAGCAAAGTGCACGGCTGCTGCTCACAACAGCCTCTGATTTGCTAGCACGGACCCCTGCATTTGTGCAGAACCTCAGTGGACCCCACTACAGTATCAGGGCCAATGATGTCAGGAATGGACTCCCTTGTAGCAAGCACAATGTTCTTGCTAGTGCCTGAGGGCTTGTCTGCACTGACACAGATGGCTTGGGTTAAGTACGCACCCTTCTGAAGTGCGGTTACCCCGGCTTGAGTTACTGCACTCAAGCTAGCCTAACGTGAGGGACAGCAACTGCACATCAGAACATTTGGCTGCACACCATGGGTATGTCTACACTACATGGCTCCGTCGACGGAGCCATGTAGTGTAGACATACCCATGGTGTGCAGCCAAATGTTCTGATGTGCAGTTGCTGTCCCTCACGTTAGGCTAGCTTGAGTGCAGTAACTCAAGCCGGGGTAACCGCACTTCAGAAGGGTGCGTACTTAACCCAAGCCATCTGTGTCAGTGCAGACAAGCCCTAGGCATAACGGGGAGGTCAATAAAGGGCTTTCAGGTCGGTGCGGGAGCGTCCAGACCAGCGCACTGAGCCTATAAACAACTGATCAGCTGTTTGTTGGCTCAGCGCGGCAGCCATTTAAATTTAAATGAAGCCGCGATTATTTAAATCGCGGCTTCATTTCCCTTTGCCGATCAGCCTAATCTACATGGCTCCGTCGATGGAGCCATGTAGTTTAGACACACCCCAATTGACTGGATTAGCTGCTGAAAGCTGAAGCCATTGCATCTCCACTGCATCGCTAGCATAAAGTGTTATTTCATCCCAGGTAGAGATTTCTATGGGTGATGGGAATTGAGTCGGGGTAATAGTTAGGGATGTCAACCTGTAGTCGAGTACACGATTAACTGATAAGCCTAAGCCTATTGGTTAATCTTATTGACTACTTGCATTCCCCCCGTGCCAGAGGCAGCGAGTGGGGGGGAGCAGGTGCCAGTGTCCTGGGGAGCACTAGATCCACGCAGCCACCTGCACCCCTGGCATTGCTGCCTCTGATAGAGAACGCGGGTCGGCAGGGGGCTCCCTGGCAATGGGGCCGGAGCACGCCGGCCGCTGTCCCGCTCCTGGGGACTATCAAATGGTCGTGTACCCAATAATATTTTGTGCGATTATACAACTATTCAATGAACTGCTATCCAACACCCCTACTAATAGTCAAGCTAACGATGCTGTGAAGACAACCTAAGTCACAGCCAGTGAAACTGAACATATCACAGCCTTAGAAACTGACGCATTTAGCTTCCATGCTTCAGTTAAATTACATTGGAAAATGAAACAAACATTTGATAATGAAAAATAAGTTTAACTACATCCATTTTACTTTGAATATCACCCAGTAGTCAACTGATTTCTTTAGTGAATATAATTACATGTTTACTCGCAGTGCATTATTGATCTATTAGGTGTCTCTCTGTACAGGGTAGGATTCCAGGTGTGATTTGGTCCCTGGTAAACACAATAAACTAAGTAAGAACTCAAGCTGTGTGGAAGCCTGTTTTCTTGTGTCTACAGTTTGTAGCTATTTCTTTTAACAAATGTCTCCTATTTAAGAAGGGCTGTGATTCCATATACAAAAGTTCCCCTGGAGTCTTTCTTGATATTGCCTTTTTATACTCACTCTAGCATCCTGAGCCTAGCCATTCTCGGGAGAACTTCAGCCAGCGCCAGGGCACCTTCATCACCAAGGCTGTTCCATGACAGTCTAAATAAAACAAGCAACATCAGCATCACCTGGGACAAATTAAAGTGCAAACACCAGAGACACAACAGCAGCGCTTTGGTGCAGACTCCGTCACATGTGCAGTCTTCAGCACAATGATTTTGAAGACCCAAAGTCATAGAGCGAACCACAAGATTTTAGCAAGGGAAGGAGTTTATTTTGCTCTCACCCTAGGGGGGGAACTTTTCCCTCTTTCAGACTCAAGGAAACTTTATTTCCCACCCACTCCCTGCTAGCTACTCTTCCCCTTGAGGAGCTACCTCATGGCTACAGAATCTTTCTGTGCAAGTCTGGATTCCACAGATCTGAGTGGGGTGCTGCTACCTCTGTGGGCCAGGCAGCCCAGGGAGCGAGAGGCTAAGAACATGGAAATCAAGACTTGGGTCTCCAGTACATCAGCTCAGAACATTACAGCTGGGAGCTCCCTGCTCTGCTCATGGCTATAGCTACTGGGGCCCACAACAGGGCTTTTTAATTTTATTCTCAGCTCTGCAGGAGAGGGTTTCACTGGACATTTCAGCAGGCGAGTTTGCTGTCTGGAGTAGGGGGGAAGGAGCTTTTGTCATGAATGGAAGGGGAGCAGGCGAGGCTTCGCTCCTAGCTCTCGGCATGGAGCAGCAGTGAGGCTTGATGAGAATTACGGGTCGCTGGTTCGTGGAAGTAACCACACAGCTGTTAGTCACCACCACAGCTTCTTAGAACAGCTGCAGGTTTCAGCACCGCAGCCCTTGGATTCTGCCACTGGCTCCATGCACCTTGTTGCCACGCAGAGGCACCGTTTCTAGACAGGCACTTGGCAGCAGGGAGCAGACGCGCACGGCGTGGCTGCAGAGAGACTGGTCTGTGCCACCATGGCAGTGTGCCAGGCCTAGCAGTGCTGAAATGAGCCCAAGACAGCTTGGCCTGACAAGAAATTGAAATGCTGGGGGACGGCGAGGGGGCAGAGCGTGCCACTACTGCCTCTGGAGTTGGGGTGCTCCTGCCTGCTCCAGATCGCACTGGCTGCTCCCTCTTGGGCCGGGGGAAGGAGGGCTGGCTGTGCAACAGAGCTGTAGCTTTGCTGTGATTATACCATTCATTATAAAACAGGGACAGTACGGCAGAAAGGGATCTAGGGGTCACAGTGGACCACAAGTTAAATATGAGTCAGCAGTGTGATGCTGTTGCAAAGAAAGCAAACATGATTCTGGGATGCATTAACAGGAGTGTTGTGAGCAAGACACGAGAAGTCATTCTTCCGCTCTACTCTGCGCTGGTTAGGCCTCAATTGGAGTATTGTGTCCAGTTCTGGGCACCGCATTTCAAGAAAGATGTGGAAAAATTGGAGAGGGTCCAGAGAAGAGCAACGAGAATGATTAAAAGTCTAGAGAACGTGACCTATGAGGGAAGGCTGAAGGAATTGGGTTTGTTTAGTTTAGAAAAGAGAAGATTGAGGGGGGACATGATAGCAGTTTTCAGGTATCTAAAAGGGTGTCACAAGGAGGAGGGAGAAAACTTGTTCATCTTGGCCTCTGAGGATAGAACAAGAAGCAATGGGCTTAAACTGCAGCAAGGGAGGTTTAGGTTGGACATTGGGAAAAAGTTCCTAACTGTCAGGGTGGTTAAACACTGGAATAAATTGCCCAGGGAGGTTGTGGAATCCCCATCTCTGGGAATATTTAAGAGTAGGTTAGATAAATGTCTATCAGGGATGGTCTAGACAGTATTTGGTCCTGCCATGAGGGCAGGGGACTGGATTCGATGACCTCTCGAGGTCCCTTCCAGTCCTACTATTCTATGATTCTATGACATTTTGCTTTATATTTTACCAATCTCCTGGTTATTTAGGGTATGTCGAAATAATGTCAAGCTGGAGAACTTCTTATGCTGACTCCTGTAACCGAAGTCGAAGTTTATCTGATAGAGGTAGCAAGGGGTGGGGAATCGACAAGTCAACTAGTCCGTAACATCCCTAGTGGAGACAGGCGTCATTCTGTTGCACCCTGTGGCCACTCAGAGCTTCCCTGTGACAGGAGAGTTGGAATTCATTACTGCCTGCTCCAAAACCAGAATCTGAGAACACTGCAGCTGAAGGAGATTCTTCCTTACCTGCTAGCATATAGGAGCTAGGACACATAGCCGATCAATTCTGATTCTATCCAATGGAAGGCAGTGGCACACTCACCAGTTCAATGTTTACAGCCTGAGTGATTGGGAATGTAGTAAGTCCAGCTGCAAATTCCTGCCAGACTGTTAGGAAACTGGTAACTGTCCTAATTTACATTATGCAAAAGAGATGTAAAACGCTCTTGTACTGATCCGGTAGCTTTTCACACTTCCTTTACAATGGAGCAATCACAAGGTGGAGGAAAGCAAAGAATCAAGACCAGTAACTTGCTCTGTCTCTTTCCAGTGAGATGCCATGATACAAACAGTAAGGGCCTGTGTACACAGCAGGGCTAGCATTGGAATAAGTGATGCAACTTTGGCTATGTCAACTGTGTAGCGTAAGTTGAAATAGCTTAATGCAGCTTTTGGCGCTGTCTACACAGAAGGAAGTCGAAGGAAGAAAACTCTTCCTCTGACTTCCCTAACTCCTCATGAAATGAGGGTTACAGGAGTCAGAGTAAGAAGTCCTCCAGTTTGACATTATTTTGAAATAAAGGCTTATAGTGTAGACGCCACTATATTATTCTGAAATAATGCTGCTGTGTAGACGTACCCTAGGAGGTGTAGGTCAAAGAGGAAGGTTTGAGTTTCATTTCCATTGATCAGCAATTTCCATTCAGGGCTCAGGAAGCTGACACAATAGCTAGGCAAGAATGAATGTTCACAGTAACCAAAAGACAGGCAGGTGCTAAACACTGTGAAACGTGTATTAGGGCAACAATGTGATCGATATACCCACACCCTGGACTCACATGATCTCTTCAATGACAGGACAACGACTGAAGCCAAGGGCAAGCTGTTTGGAAACACCGTCGCTGATTCCACAGAGTTTCAGTCTGGGGGGGAATAGGATTTGTAATCACAAATGGAACAGCTGACACACACAGCCGGCCAGGAAATGTCAGTGACTCCACTACCCGGGAACAGAAGGTACGGTTATGCTGCGTTTTACAACTGCAGCAGCATGTCTCCTGGCTTGACAGACAGCGGCTTGTGCTGCTGCACTGAAAACAGCCGTGTGGACACTGTGGCAAGGGCTGCAAAACGCTTAGGCATCTGAGTCCAAGCTCCAGGCTGTGTCTGCACAGCTGTTTGAGTCTGCAGACCCTGGCTCTGAGACTCATGGCCATGGGTTGTAAATCACAGTGCCGACATACCCAGAGAGCCCCACGTTAGGGTCTGCTCGAGGAGCAGGTAGTACCCATAGATGCTGGAACTGATGGGGGGCAGCAGCACCCTCTGGCTCGTAATGATTTCCATCATCTGCAGTTCTTACAGTCTGGTTCAGTGGCTCTCTGCCTCCCCTCCCCCAACTATACACATTGGTTCAGCCCCCGCCTTCCCAGAAGTGCCAGTTTGCCACCAATGTGTCCCTCAATCCATATGGCTGCCTGAGGCTAATTCCCCCCCCCCCCACGCCCTCCGTACCAGATCCCAAGCTCTACTGAAGTCACCACGAGCCCCACTGCCGCTATCTTGTCCTGAGAATCATAGAACCACCGTGTCTAATGCAGTTCAACTTACTCAATCCTTCTGAGCCAGGTGAAATGCGGAAGCCCCTCTGCCAAGGTGCGGATGGCACCTTCCCCAAAGCTGTTCTCTGACAAACTGGAAGGACAATCAGAATTCACTGAGGAGCTGGAAGAAGCTACATCAGAGAAGAGTCACTGGGCGGGGAAGCTGAGGGGGTGCTATCCTGATACCAATGTCACAAAGGGGGTCTCATTGAACATTCTCTGTAACTCACTTCATGAGGCAGGATTGACCTACGGGCTCTGTGCATTTGCCCAGGGGCTTTAAAGTCCATGGGTGAAATCCAGGCCCTAGTGAAATCAATGGGCGTTTTGCCGTGGACTTCAACGGGGTCAGGATTTCATCCTGCATAGTTGTAAATTCTACAAATGCTACACCTAGCTGCACATTATTATTTGAGCCAATATATAAAACAGACAGACGGGCAGAGGTACAATCAAGCCCTATTTTCTTAAAGGATACCTATTAATTCCCAACAGCACCTACCTTATCTCTTCTAGGTACTGGCACTTAACCAGGGCTTTGGCCAGCTGTGTTCCTCCAAGTGAACCAATGTAATTGGACTGCAGACTGGTGAGAGAAAGAAAAATCTTCAACAGATTCTTTTGACAAATTTGACTGCCTGCCAAAGAAACAACCACTCCTCTGGTTTCTTTGATATTTGCACCCTCCTTTACGAAGGACAAAGATGAGACCTTGAGAACAAGTCACAAACCAGTGGAACAGCAGCGATTTCAACGTGGCTAAGAATTTTGTACACAAACTAACCATCCCAATTTTCACCTCAGTGCACCATGAAGGTGAAATCTTGGCCTCAGCAAAGTCAAAACAAAACTCCCATTTGACTTAAAGAATTTCACATGTAACCTTCCCTTGGTTGTCACATGCGATTTTCACTCACAAAGCAGCTGTAGTTAAACAGAACGGGTGTGTCTAGACTACATGGCTCCGTCGACGGAGCCATGTAAATTAGTTTATTCAGCATAGTCAAAGAAGCGGGGATTTAAATAATCCCCACTTCATTAAAATAAACATGGCTGCCGCACTGTGCCGACAATCAGCTTATCTGACAGAGCGCGGCAGTCTAGACAGGGATCTGCAGGCTGGGGAAGCCTTTGCTGACCGATCCTGTAAACCTCGTTTCACGAGGCATAAGGGATCGGTCGGCAAAGGCTTCCCCAGCTGACAGGTCCGTGTCTGATCGTTGGCACAGTGCAGTGGCCATGTTTATTTTAATAAGGCGGGGATTATTTAAATTCCCACTTCTTTGACTATGCCGAATAAACTAATTTACATGGCTCCGTTGACGGAGCCATGTAGTCTAGACACACCCAAAGATGTAGCTCTGCATTAATAAATTATGGACAAAGATCCCACCTGTCACCATGAGAAGCAAAGCCTGTAGAAAATGAAAAGCTGCATGGCACAGTGTATTCAACCTATAGCCATGGCATGGGAGCGTTTGGTCTAAGATAGCAAAGAGAAAAATTAGCATCATTTAACTGTGTTGCTGCTGTGGTACAGCCGGGCAGTGCTCTTTTGATCAGAGGCAGGAAAGACTTTCTAGCACTAAAAGCTTAGCACAATTCCATTTAGAGAACAGAAAAATAATACAAGACGACAAAATAATGCAGGGCCAGATGGATGCTCCTAGTTACCCTCTCATCAGATGAGAACAAGAGGACACCATTAAAAATGTAACATATTCAAAACTGATGGAAAGGCATCTGTTATACACGTCCTAATTGATCTGTGGAAGTGACTGCCACTGAGACCAAGAGCTTAGTGGGAATGACACTGCTGTAAAAACACATGGCAATAGGTAATAATCACACTATGGTAGGGAGCGCTGGAAGCAAGTATGCAATGGAACCTGGCGTTGGCTGTTGGTTGGTGTTTTTGATTTGTTTAACCATGTGCCTGCATCAGTTCATTCTTCACCCACCTTCATTTTCAGTCTCTTTTTTTAGCAGCCCCAGCATTTCTGGGGTGCCCTGCCTCAAGAAATATAAGTCCAGAAGTGGAAGCAAGCACTTACTGAAGGATCTTCAAGTAGCACATGTTAGGCAAAGAGAGGGAGAGTTTCGCTGCAGTGCTGTCTCCGACATGGTTCCTTGCTAACCTGAAAAACATATGAAACATTACTGACGATGAACTAACGGGCCTATTTGCTCCCTTCAACACGTATCTCTGTGGCTCCTGTTAGAGATAACAGGAGCTGCTCAAAGAGGAACATAAATATCCTTAATTAACCCTTCAGAGACTGAATATTGTTATAGACTGAAATAATAGCTCCGCTTCAGAATTCAGCCATTAAACAGTAAACTAAAACATGGTGGAATTACTCTGTGGTTATTTTTCCTGATACTCCTGCAATTACCACTAATTCATACAACCAGTAGGTCAATTAAATAATTCAATCACTTATTATTTCCCCTTTATCAGTGTAGAGACTAAGCCGCAGTCCTTCAATGCAAGTGCAGGGCAGGAACCTCAGTCAGAATCTTCAGCAGTACAGAACAGCCCTCTGCTATTTGAGCTAGCGGAGAAATGCCGTCAGCTCTCAGTAGTAGTAGGCTGCTCTCCTCTGTTTGCACTAGCCACTAGATGGGGATGTGACACAGCTCCCATGTGGACTCCCATCCATGTAACTAGCTCACAGGTGGAGTGAGCTGACTGGATTATAGGAGTGGAACCTTGGGCTTTAAGTATATTTTTGATGAATGAACCCAGTCCATTAGCCTATAATCTGGAGGTAACTGGATGAGCTATACATTTTGATTGCAACATAAATATATTTTTCCCACCTGGTTAAAGGTTTTTTATTCTTTCATAGGATACGGACGCTTCTCTTCTGAAAACTAATAGGAAGTTAGATGAACAATAATAAATTGAGTTACGGTCCTAGGCTAACAAAGTCTACAATCAGCCCCATCATCCATTTTTATTATAGTAATAATTATATGGATTTCCTTTTTATTTGTTAGGTAATATGTACACCAGGCAGCTGTGGCAAACGCTGTGTCCTGTGTGCCTGTCTGTTCTGTACACAGCACAAGCATGGGTTCTCCTTCACTAGCAGCCCAAAGGAGTCTGCCATTCATTCCAGTGGGGAGACCAGATGTGAAGCCTCAGAACTTTGGTACCAGCCAGAGAAAATGTGCAACTCACAGTAGCTCCTCAACACCTCTGCAGTGAGCCAGAGCCTCTGCGAGCGTCTCCCCTCCTGCTGGGCCAATGAAGTTCGACGACAGGCTACAATACACATGGAAACCAGCAGATCTGTTAGTGGCTGCTGCACTGAAAAGTGCCAGGAAACACCAGATACACATTTCATCTGTAGCTCGAATGGTGCTTTTAGACCGAAAAGCATGACAAGGAGCACAGGGCACCGTAATGATGGGCTGCAACTGAAGTAGGCTGGAGATGCCAACCCAAAGCTCATCAGGAGACACACGGGTCTCCACATCCAATAGCTCGAACGAGAAAGGCTCACCAGAGAGGGCGTGGCATGACTGGCTCCGAAGACCCCATTTGCTTCACATGGCAATGAGTGAAGTGGCAGGCCAAGGAGTAGATGAGAGATATTTATTCAGCATTCTGAGCGGGCAGTGTTAGGGTGCATCGACACTGCACTCTTAGGTCGAAATTTGCATAGTTTATTTCGAGTGTATTTCAAACCGCTATTCCGAAATGCCCCTTAACCCTCGTCGAACGAGGGTTACTGGGACGTTGGAATAAGTCTGCTGTTATTTCGATCTATTTCAAAACAGTGGGCTGCTTCAATAGACACAGAATAGCTATTTCAGGATACTTCCGGTAACCCGAAATAGCTCTGCAGTGTAGATTTACCCTTACAGGTTATGGCTCTATCACTTATATGCAAGCAACTTGGCCCAGCTTACTTTGCTGAGCCCCTGGTGTCACAGTGAACTACGGAAGAGCCATCCGAATACTGGACCCTTCTTTCTCCAGTCCCACTTACTATATTACACTGCTGATGACTGCTGTGTAATATAGGGGGCCTATGGGGAGCCTATGGCTGCTATTTCTCCCAGTGAGTGATCCCTCCATGGCCTAAGATTTGGGATGAATTTCCTTAGCAACTAAAACTGAACAGAAAGAGAAATTTCTTGGCGTCCACCCCCTCTTTTGTAGGAAATAACGTGGCAGCAATGGGACAGCGCTGCTCTGAACACCCTAGGGCCTGAAGTTCTCCACTTAGCGACAGAAGAGGTAACGCGCCAATAATGGCAGGCACTTGTGCTGCTTTTGTTACGTGGACACTTGTTCACTAAAATGTGTAGTGAGATTAGTGCATGGCCAGGGCAGGTGCAACGTTTAGTCACAAAGAGCCTGATCCAAAGCCAACTGTAATCAAGGTGGGAGTCTTTGCAGTAACTTTTAGGCAGGTAAAATAAAATCAGACATGAACATTCCTCCCAACCTTCACTCCGACGCTAATGAATCCCATTATTCAACCCAAAATATAAAGCAACTCACTTGACTTTCTTTAAGTTTTTCATTTCTGGCAGGAGCGCGGCTATTTTTTCCAGACCAGCACGCTCAAACTTGTTATGGCTTAAACTTTAAAGGGAGGAAAAAAAGCCACATTAAGAATAAAACCATGGCGTTTCCCACTGAGTACAGAGTCTTGTCTAACATCTGACTGAAGGGACCCAAAATTACTTCACTATTCACAGCTGAATAGTGAAGTCAAAAGTCAAAAAGGTGTTTATTTGAACTGCATCTCAGAGGCAGCTCCAAAACAGAGTTCCTGATCCAAATGTTGACAGACGGAATTCAACCCAGGGGTTTCCATTGATCCCACTATACACCATTCCATGTGCCAGCTGCACAGTCGCTCAGATTTTGTGTCTGAAGTTTTGGTTTGGTCCCATCTCTAATTCAAGTAGCCCAGATACTTAACCATTAACAGCCCCCGTAAAACTGCGCCTAGGAACACCTCTTGGCTTGAGTTCTACAACCCAGCCCCATCGCTGACAGAGAAATTACAAGAAAGAAGCAACCCACTTGATTTCTTCCATGTGAGCAGCATTCTTCAGTGCTTCTGCCAGGTGGGCACAGCCTTCACTCCCAATACTGTTATTGTTCAAGCTGGAAAGGATATTTACCAAATATCATGCATTAGGCTGTTACTCAGTGGCACGGCTTTATGAACAGAGGATGAAATTAACTTCCGTGCAGAGGGCCAGCGAAAGCCCAATGAGCCATCTGAGTCCTACGTAAGGCCTCTGAACAGGGATTTAAGTGGGATGCAAGTGGTGCATTAGCATTGGACTTCAAAAGGAAAAACAAACAAACAAATCCTTGCAGCTCATTGCGCTGCTGGGAAAAAAATGCTACCATCAACTTCTGAAACAGCTGCATGTATCTAAGGTAACCACTGACCAGTACACTGAATAGTGACATCATAACTCTGTGGTCTCTTGTTATGTAACAATCGTGCTATCACTACTGGAGATTGCAGCGGCTGTGCTAGCAAAAGACTCTTCTGTGCTCCCACAAAAACAGAAAATATGATCTGAGCTACATGTGTTGACTAATGTGTGAGTTTTTGGCAGTTCACTGGGTGCACATACATTTTTATGGGTGTATCTGCTATGCTTAGCTTTGCAAATCTGCCCCGAATGTTTCCTCTTCTCAGTGTATTTGCTGTGAAGAGGATTTTTAAAAACGCTACTTCATTCTAGCTTAGTTAGCAGTAGGTCAATAAAAGTAGGGACTACCAAAACCAGCAGACGTACTGGGCCAAATACTGCAGCTGCTGATCATGTCACGACAGAACTACAGAAGGGTGCAGCGTCATTTTTGCTAAGTAATATGTTAGTATTTCTATGAGCCCCATCAATGTAGGATACAGTGACAGACAAAGTCTTGGTTGGGCTCATATCAATGTCTGACAGCATGGGAAGGAGTCATGCTGCGGTATCAGAGGGATTCGGACATTAATAAACTTACCCTCCAAACAAGCCTGTGAGATTAGCAATGCATTGCTACCTCCATTGAACAAAGGGGAATGGTGGCACAGGCCTGTTCAAGATCACACAGAGTGTGAGACAGAGCTGGAAAAATGAACCTACATCTCCTGAATCATGTGCACAGACTAGGCCTCCTTGCTGCTCTGGCCTCAGGCCTGCCTAAAAAGGTTGGACATACTCCCAACGGAAACTTTCCTTTTTTGATTCCAGCACATTTACATAAGTGATTCCTAGAATGGAAGCAGATTCCTAGGGGCTAAGTCTACTCTCCAGAGTGAAACTGGAGCTAACCTGGGCATCTCTATAGGAAGCGTAGGGAAGGAACCACACACAGGCCTTTCCTCTCTAGTGTTTGTACGGGCCTGCTAACAGCACTGTCCCGGAGGGACGGCGCAGACATACTTACAGGAGTCTTTTCAGTAAAGGCATTTGGTGAAGTCCTGACACCAGCATGAGAGTGGCCGTGTCATCAAGTTCCAACGAACTGAGGCTGAGAGGCAAATGGACACAGGAATAAGCGTTCACAGCTCTAAATGGGTAGTTCAGACCATTTGCTAGAAAGCGGCTTCAAAGCAATGGGAGGCTGACAGAGCCCAGTGGCCCTGTCATTATGTCGATCCTAGCTGTGTAGGAAAAGGAACCTCTGAACTGTCTTACAAAGGTTTTGTGGCTCTGCATCCTGCAGTGAGGGGCTGCTGAGGAGACTGCAGTGGGGAAATAATTTCTCCTGGTGTTACAAAGAGAGTAGTTTTCCGTTAAAAGCATTGGCGGAAAAGAGCGTCTAGATTGGCAGGACGCTTTTCCTCAAAAGCACTTTTTGCAGAAAAGCAGCCATGCCAATCTAGACACGCTTTTGCGCAAGAAAGCCCCGATCGCCATTTTCGCAAACGGGGCTTTTTTGCACAAAACAAATCTGAGCTGTCTACACTGGCCCTTTTGCGCAAAAGGACTTTTGTCCAAACAGGAGCAGCATAGTATTTCCACAAGAAGCCCTGATTTCTTACATGAGATCGTCAGTGTTCTTGCGGAAATTCAAGCGGCCAGTGTAGACAGCTGGCAAGTTTTTCCGCGAAAGCAGCTGCTTTTGCAGAAAAACTTGCCAGTCTAGACACAGCCCGGGAGTTTTGCCACTCACATCTGTGGAAGCAGTATGAGACCAGAGGTGCATAAATCACATACACAGGGTTTTTCATTTCCTTTCAGCCAAAACCATCTCCAGGCCTATGTCTAAGAGACTACAATGTTTTATCAGGAAAAGGTACAAAAATTTCACTCTGCAATTTGCATACCTTTTTCCAATAGTTTTGCTGGAAAAGGCTTTTTTCAAAATTGGCCCGTCTACACTGGGCCAAATTTCGAAAAAGCCTCCTCTTTCGGAATTCTTCTTCGTGGAAGGAGGAAGACAGGGCTTCTGAAAGAGCGCATTTGCTCTTCTGCAAAAATAGGAGAAGAGCAGACAGGTTCTCTGGACGCGGTGGAATTTTTTTGGGATACCTCCAGTATCCCGGAAAACCCCCATAGTCTAGACGTAGCCCAGGAGACTTGGTGAAAGCAATTACAAAGGCTAAGAATCACAGGTCATTATTAACAGGGACAGTGAGAAATGCTCCAGACATAAGAATTCTCCGTTTTTTCTTCAAAAGCAAAGATATCATGAAAGCATTTTGAGATGTCATAGAATCAAAGAATATTAGAACAACAGCACTTGGTTCTGGACCTCCAACACTCAGATCATCTGAAGAAATGGCCTGCAAGCTCATGATACTATCTACATGTTTTGTTAGTCTTTAAAGTGCTATCAGACTATCTGTTATTTTTCAAGATTTTCCTGGATATGGTGCATCTTCCAACACTGCAGTGTCAGCGCTCACATTCTGCAGTGGGACATGCACAGGTACTGAGAATATCAAAGATCTTGGCTTGTACACAGAACTCTGCTCTCTGCCCATATCATATGATATTAATCCTGTTATCCCATCCTTAGTTGCAAGTACTAAGGAATTAGCTTTCTCCCACAGCTGACGTCTACCATCCATCTGTGTGGTCCATGACACACAGCTTGTAAGTAAATGCAGTTTAATCATAAAAGCTAATGGTAACTGGGCTAACAGGTTCTAGACAGTACCATGACAATACACTTACTTAAGCTCTTCAACAGCATGACATTGCTGCAACCCTGCCACAAGATATCCCATTCCCCTTGGCAGAACACTGCTGGCCGTCAGCCTGAAAAACCAGTAACAGCACCAAATGAGACAGCTTATGGGAGATAACGGAATCACTTTCCTTACCAGTGATGTGCAGCTGCTTCTGGGGTGGAATGCAGCTTTTTATCAGCATAAAACACAACTGGGAAGTTAGAAGTAGCACTAATTGGTATCCGCATACTAAAATGACTAGTGTCTGATATTTAAGAGACAGATTCTTTCCAAACAGAACCATAAGAGGGGAAATTAGATCAATGGAATGTAATTAAGTATTTGGCCAGGGTCCCATGGCTTGTACTCTTATTCTTGCAAAAAATGCCATTGGTTCTTTAAAAATCGCAAGTGGGCATAGGATCGTGGATTTACTCCTAACAGCTGTGGACTCATTTCTTGCCCTATTAATCTGTAATCATTTCAGAATTAAGGGGCTGCATAAAAGTAAGAACCCTTGAGGAGCTAAGCTTTTGAAGGATGAGGAGCCAAATCCCATGAGAAGTTTTCCAGCTCCATTTTACAGACCCAAAGGAACTGGATAGTCCAAAATACTGGGCGCTGAATCTGTACTGACTCAGAATCTCTGCTGGTTCTGCCAACATCAACAAAGAATGAATCCCAAAAGATTTTACTGTGCAAAGGCCCATCCTAATTCACATTTAGCTATGGCCACTTTATACCACTCTAGGGCTACGTCTAGACTGGCATGATTTTCCGGAAATGCTTTTAACGGAAAAGTTTTCCATTAAAAGCATTTTCAGAAAAGAGTGTCCAGATTGGCATGGACGCTTTTCCGCAAAAGCACCTTTTGCGGAAATGCATCCGTGGCCAATCTAGACGCGCTTTTGCGCAAAAAAGCCCCAAATGCCATTTTCACGATCAGGGCTTCTTTGTGCAAAACAAATCTCAGCTGTCTACACTGGCCTTTTGCGCAAAAGTTTTGCGCAAAAGGGACTTTTGCCTGAATGGGAGCAGCATAGTATTTCCGCAAAAAGCACTGATTTCTTACAGTAGGAAGTCAGTGCTTCTGCGGAAATTCAAGCGGCCAGTGTAGACAGCTGGCAAGTTTTTCCGGAAAAGCGGCTGATTTTCCGGAAAACTGGCCAGTCTAAACACAGCCTAGGGGTCTAAAGGGTGTATTATGATTACAGATTAATAGGGCAAAAATGTCCACAACTGTTAGGAGTAAACCCACAATCTTATTTCCACTTGCTATTTTTAAAGACCCAATGGCATTTGGGTAAAGTGAGACTAGCTTCTATTTACACCCTTAAGCCCCTTTACATGACTGGAGCAGGATAAAATGTCCACAGCATATATGAGAATCAGGTCCTCTTATCTTTATAGGTTTGTACATAAGAAAGGGGGCAGGAAGTGACAATTTCTCTGAAATCTTGCAGCATGACTAAATGCTCAAGTGCCCCTTTCTAGCAATCCACAGAAGAAAATTCTCGAACACCTGCCACGTTAACACATGCAAATACGGATGTGTGAAAGTTGCAACGTTCACACCTGGATTCCAATTTTCCCACCTGATGGGCCTCCAGTTCGGTCTGTTACAAGGTCAGGGGCCAGCCATGGAGGTCTGATTAGGGTTGCCAGGTGTCCGGTATTGACCCGAACAGTCCGGTATTTTTGCCTCCTGTCTGGTAAAAAAATCAGAAAATACTGGACACCTAAAATGTCCAGTATTTTCTGATTTTTTTCCTGCCAGGAGGCGAAAATACCAGAAAATACCTGCTAGGAGGTGAAAATACCAGGCAACCCTACACATGCTCAGCAATCAGGCCCAGCCTTTGGACCCCTCCCCAGCTCCCCCCCCGCAGAATCTCCCTTCCCTGCTGCTTAAGCAGGAGAGCTCTGTTTCGGCACAGAGTAAGAAAACAAGATGGCTGCCGGCAAAAAAAAGCCCCAAAGGTCTTAAAGGGGCCATGCTGGGTTTTTTTTTTTTTTTTTGCTTAATAACTGTCGGAGTCCTTTTTTTTGGAGGGGGGGGGGGGGTCAACAATTTTGGTCTCCCCTTTTTTTCCTCAACAGTGTTTTTTTGGGGAGGGATGGGGATTGGTATTTTTGGTTAAACCATCTGGCAACCCTAGGTCTGATGCTGATTCATGTTGGAATGTTTCTGGATTTCAGAAAAGAGTTTCAGTTCAGGCTGCTCTCTAGACCCCAAAGCTCAGAGAAGCGATGGAAGTATGCGTTTGGAGTTTGCCGGCCAGCAAGACTGCACAGGGACGTTCCGAACGAGAATACAGACAGGGCTAGTGGGGCTGGGAAAAGGCCAGTGAGGGCAATAGGGGTATCTGCTTGGAATCATAGAATACTAGGACTGGAAGGGACCTCGAGAGGTCATTGAGTCCAGTCCCCTGCCCCCATGGCAGGACCAAATACTGTCTAGACCATCCCTGATAGACATGTATCTAACCTACTCTTAAATATCTCCAGAGAATGAGGAAGTGGGAAGGTATCCAGGTGAATATTCAACAGTAACAAGCTTTTCAATGATTACATACTCAAACTTCTTCAGCGCTGGAAGAGGAAGAAGCGCATTGATGAGTGTTGCTTCTTCAGCATTGTTGAGGTCAACGTGAGACCAGCTGCAAGGACAAAAAAATTGCATCCTGTCAGTGACACCCAAAGCTCTGAACAGCCCCCAGCTGCCATGGAGCGGGATGATGTTTGCAGTTGTTCTGCATGAACGGATCCAGGGCAGCCTATATTCTGACCCACACTCAGACCAACAGTCCATTAGGAAGAATTTCAAGGCATACGGTGGCATGTCAGTAGAATTCCATTGTGATGCCAGACCCCAGGCTCCATTCTTGAAACTTTCATATGAAGTTTTAAAGCCAGAGGGCCCCATCAGATTGCCTGGTCTGGCCTCCTGCACAACACAGACGGATTTGTCCAATACCTATCACCTGAGTCTCTCTAGGCTTGATCACCCCAGATTTTCTTGCATGAGTCAGCTTAGTCCAGGTGTTTCAAGCACCAACAAATAAAGAGCCACTGCTCAGCACCAAGAACAAATGGCCATCAGTGTGTCAGGCGGGTGTGTGTGTGTGTGTGTGTGAGAAACTCTCATCACTCCATGATGCCAGTATGCTGTGTATCACAAAATGCACAGCACATGCACCAATCGAGGCAAGTCTTGTAGCATTCCTGTGCCCTTGGGGCAGTATGTGCATCTGAGTGAGCTGTTGCAACCAGCTGTGGTGCAGCCACATGCGGAACCGGCATGTCAGACTGTGTGTGTGCTGCTCTCTAGCCCCCTCCTTTGCTGGAGGTCACTTAGGGCTAAATTCGGCCCCCAAATCTCCCCCTCCGCTGATACTCCCGCTGAGGTTGGACAGGGTATGCGTGTCAGGGGAGAATTGACTGAAGACTACCCTTGTTTCTCTGCATGATTTTCTAGCTGCCCCGCCCCAGTTTCAGAACAAGTCTATTCTTTCCCTGCACCCGGACAAGGGAGACGTTGCTGCCGCACTTGGAGAGCTCACCTCAGCTCCTGAAGCTGCATGCATTTCTCAACGAGCCTCTCCAGACAGTGGATGTGCTTCACCTCCAGTTCGCACTGATTCAATCTGCCCAGTGTGGGTACAAACACACAAATGCATCAAACAACAATCGGCTCAGCCCATGCTCATCCGGGGCCTTGCAGTCAGCCACATCCCACTGGCCTTGATCTGCTGTATGGCTGGTCTCGGGAGGAGGCCAGAGCTGCACAAACCCAAACTCCCTCTCTAGCAGGGAGGGGGCAGCTTGCCCCCCCTTGATGTGCCTTGTCTGAGATAGAGCGGAGGGAGCACAGCCCTTCCCCACCCCGGGTGCCCGTAGCTAGAAGTCCCTGCATTCTCCCAGGCACAAGGACTGATTTCCCTGGCCAGAGCATGAAAGCTCCTTTGTTACCTACCAGCTCAGTGTTCTTGGGGAGCAAGGCCATAGTACTCATGGAGCCCTGCCCCCGTCTCTGCTTGAACTAAAGCTAATACAAAAAGTTGAAAAGGCAGGGGCAGATGCACCTAAACCCCTTTGGACATGGGTGAAAGATTAAGGAAACATCCCAGCCTCCCTTGCATTGACGATGGGACAAGGAGGCATCTCCATTAGCATACAGAACGGAGAACGGCAATTCCAAGACAAGAACCACCCTGAACTCTGGGCCACAGAAAGGAAAGCAATGCCTGATGGGAAATCCCTGCTGCAGATGCGAATAACCCCGCCCACAGTAATTACCAGACCAATTTTAGTAACAAATCCCCTGTTGGTATCCAAAATACCGAAACGGCTTAATTGCATTATGAGCCCCATCAATGGAACAGGGCCTATAGCCAGGAATGATCAGTTCCTGTTTCTAGCCTAAACACAGCAATGCTGGGATATTTCCTGGCATCACCGGTTTACCCATAAACAAATCCAGCCTCTCACTACAAAAGCCTCCCATCCCACCCAAGTCAAGTGTTCTGATGCCTGGATCTCCATTCTGCATCAGTTCCACTGGCATTTCATCTGCTCCTGACTGATTGTGCTGGGGGCTCGGCTCTGCCTGTCTCCACCCCTCTGGGCTCCCAGCTACCGTCACCACCTGGGAACCCCAACTGAGTCAAACTTCACCGAGCGGTGAGATCTCTCCCTTCGCCCACCCCCTCTCTGTAGGTAAAGCCTCCTGTCTCTGCCTTATGTAATCAGTTATGGTCTGCTTGCCCTAACATTTACAATCCGATTTTAGTACTGTTTGATTTGGCTAGCTCCCCTTGCATGGTTACTACCTAGAGATAACTTTCATAGTTAAGCTGGTTGTTGTGCTCTTTTTCTCTCTCTCTCCTTCCCTTGTGGGTCACTAGCAGAACGGTCGTGGTGTGAAAGTGGGGATAGGGACGTGCTGCACCTGGGGGCCTATGAGGGTTGCAGCTTAAAGTGCTTTTAAACCTGGCCCACTGAGTCCAAGGGCATGTGAGGGTCACAGCCTGGCACTGCTGTGCAACTAGCCTGCTGAGTCCAGGGACATATAAGGGGTCAGTTGGTGAAGCTGATTAACCAGTCCTCTCATGCATTAGTGGGTGTGAGTGTATGTTCATCTGATTCTCAGGTGGGAAGAACCCAACCGTGGGGGACCTACATGCTGCAGAAGAGCTCCATTGGGAGGGAATTGGCAGAAAGGAGAAGTAACACTAGCACATTGCTAGAATTATCAATCCTCATGGACATATAAGGGGTCAGTTGGTGAAGCTGATTAACCAGTCCTCTCATGCATTAGTGGGTGTGAGTGTATGTTCATCTGATTCTCAGGTGGGAAGAACCCAACCGTGGGGGACCTACATGCTGCAGAAGAGCTCCATTGGGAGGGAATTGGCAGAAAGGAGAAGTAACACTAGCACATTGCTAGAATTATCAATCCTCAT